TAAAAGATAGATTGTAACTTAATTCAGGGAATGCATGTTTGTGATTGCTTATGCAAGCACATCTCCTGCCACTTGGTCTCCATCTGTCTCTGTTGCTGATAAATGTATGTTGCAGGCACTAAAAAGCCATTCCTCATTTTCTTCTTCATCATCGAGAAATATTTAGGACGTCCTCCCTTAGAAATGTAAGATTACTGGCTTGGAAGGACAGATAATCATGGAAGAAGCAGTGGAGGTCACCTAAATACAGACTCGACTGGAAACACAATTGTGAAGCCATCTACAAGAAGGGACAAGGCAGATTGTACTTCTTAAGGAGGCTTCAGTGTTTTCAGCAAGATACTACAAATCTTCTATGTCTGTTAAGGAGAGTGTGATTTCTGCTTCTATCGACTTGCTAGGGTAACAACATTAAAGTAAATTACTTAAGAAGCTCAACAAGCTAATAAAGAATTAACTTTTCTTGAACCTCTGGAAATGATTTTACAAAAAAAAAAAAAACAAAGAACATAATGGCGAACAGTGAGCATCCTTTTTAGAGGACTGTTAGACACATCAGTGTCTTCAGTCAAAAGCTCCTCCCCTTTATGTGCAAAAACAGACCCTTTTAGGAGATCCTTCCTGCCTACAGCTATAAACATCTAAAAAAAAAATATATATATATATACGTCAATAAAGTATTTTATATTGAACTGAACTGTAAATGGCTGAACAGAATTCAGCCATGTAATAGATCAACAGGATACAAGTTCAAATACAAATCTGATTACATAGGTGAACAATCTGTATAATGCCTTTCTCTGCAAGAAAGGATAAGTAAAATCTCTGTGCATGTCTATTATTTTCACATCTAGTATTCTCCTCCACCTGCGGCTTCTCTCATTTACTGTAGATGACCTTTAAGGTGGGATTTCACAGTGACAGTAGTTTCATTGACAGCTATTCACCCACCACTGTGCTTTGCTGTCCACTTAGATTGTATAACGAGATGAAGGTTAGCGTAGGACAGCGGGAGCTTCTAATGATGTATTCTCACGACTGGACTAAGGGCAATGTGAGCCCCATGGGTTTCGGTCTGGTGCCCTGGTTGCGCAAGATTTGTTTTTGGATATTAATTAAAATAGTTTTTTTTTTCATGTGTTTTTTTTTTGTGTGTGTTTTAAAAAAAACAAAAAAAGAAAGAAAAAGGACAAGGAAGGAAGACATTTATATTGATTATCAGATACCCATTATTTTTTTCTAAAATGATCCTTCTTGTAGCCTGTACCCTAAACCTTATTTCAAAATAGCCACAGCATCGAGCTAAGGTACTCAGGATTTAATCATGATGACAGAAAACAATTAATAATCATTGACCCTCTTCTGAATGGATCAATCAGACTGTTTGTCAAGATAAATTGGCGGATATGCCTTGTAGCATTGACTGATCATTTATCCTCAGGAGCTTTATATTAATGAAGAACAGCAATCCATTGAACTGATATTCAGGGTGTTTGTCTGACATTAATATTAATAAATAGTTATTATAATGCAGGATATAAATTTTTAAATAAGTGGTAGGTAAAAGGTACAGATCTCCTAGAAAAAACACCAAAACAAACTGCCATATTTAACAAAACACTTCCAGAACAGCCTACCACTGCTTTAGAATTCAGCATTAAAGCTTCATGAGGCTAGCACCTCTGCCTGGGCTCTTTGTGCTGCTGTGTTTGTTTGTACCCTGTAGGACAACCACAATGTCATATACAGAATTCGGAGTTTTACCTTTTCACAAACAGGTACAAAACGTGAAAACAAAATAAGCTAGAAAAAAAAAATCCCATATTGCAGAGTAGAAACGGACTGTAAAAGGCATTGTACCTCCACCTACTCCTCTTCTGCTTCCTTCCTTCTCTCCACCCTTTGCCTGAGCTGAGCATAATGAATCATAATCATGGCTGCCAATCACACCACACATAATGAAATTTACTCTGAACTGATGTAATGCCAGACTAAGTATTACTGTTTAAACCCTTTTTTTATTTTATGTTTTTTCGAACAAGTTTTAAAACTCCAGAAAAAAAAAACTATCTACATACATATGCAACCAAATCTTTAAAATTTGAGCTAATTTTTAAATAACCATGTTGCACAGTGTCAAAAAAGTGGCTTTAAACTGCACCACCTGCTCCATCTTGTGTTGCCAAGGTACCCATTGGTGGATCAGGCAGTATAGGTGAGGAACAGATGCTGCTCTGAATGCTTACTTCTGCTCCAAGAAAGAACGTGGGGTTTATAAAGCCAAATTCGGGGAGCAGTATTTGAACAACTGAGAGTAGAATCAATGCAAGATGGTGCTGCTAATTGGAGGCCTTACTGCTCCTGCTGCCAGACATCAAGAAGAAGACGTTCCAATTTAAACTGTGGGAAAGTTTTGGAGCATGGCACTTAAAGCAGTCCTTAGGAGGGCATCATTGTTCAGCATCAGAGGTCGATGCAGTGCAGTACTGCTGTGGTGGCTTTTTCCTGATAAGTAATTCAGGAGTAAGACTTGCAGTGATTATGTGTATAGAAAGAGCTCTGATTGTTTCCGTACTCGGTTTCAGTCAGAGTTGAGGTGGGAAGATGTTTAGTTTTCTCCTCCTACACAGAAATGGACACTATGTTTTCATGAAAGGAAAGCAATAATGCTTCTGGCTGTCAGGGTATTCTGTCATTTTGTTTCTCTGGTGCTAGAATAATATCCACCTCCTCCCAGGTCATCAAAGTAAGAGTGTCAGTGTGTTGTGGGCCCTGACCTGCACATAAATCAGGCACAACACCAAGAGGACAACACAACGCACAATTCTGGCCTCTACTGCTGGAGCTACCAAGAGGAACAAACACAGCCCATAAAAATGTACAACCCACCTCACTGCTATTTCCTAGCAAGACAAACCAAATAGGATTATTTTTCAAATATGAATCAAAGAGTAAGCAATGCTGCTAATTTGTGTCAAGCTTTAATAAATAGCAACACGTACAGCTGGTGATATTGTTTTATATCTTCCAATTTTGGTCACATCATACTCAAAGTTTCCAGGTATGCATCACATTGATTCATCCCTAAAGGAGGGACAATTTATACTGTTTTTCACAGCTGTTAAAGGAAAATAACACCCTATGCTCTTTTTAACTCTGGTGTATGAAAATATGTTATATTTTATGGAAGTTATGAAGAAATAGTCTGAGTGTGTATCTTAAGTAAAATGGATTGTGTAATAAACAGTGGAGAAGTTTGGTATGGGAATTACGGCTAGCCACCTGGAATGCACTCCCATCATCCGTTGGCACTGCTGCTCCGAAAAAAAAAAAAAAAAAAACTTTTTAAAATCCCTTTTTTGTGTGCACTTTAAGGACTGTAAGTTTCTACACTGAATTATTCATTTATAATTACATATTTATTTTGTCTGCAAAAGAAACACAGGATGAGAATTTACTTATTTTGTTTTTGGCAAAAAAAAAGATAAATTTAAGATGAAGACATCCATGTAAATTGATATTCACAGACTGGTCAAAACCTCGACTGAATTAATTAAAACAGTGTTAAAATATTAGCCCCTTACTTACACTACCCAGACAAAATCAATACAAAAAGCTATTTGTGTTTTTGTATAATATAATTAACAACTCTTCTCAGTTCATTTCAAAATATTTAAATACATAAAGAATTAATGGAAGTGCTTTTTAAAGAAAACTACTAAGTTTACACTGTGTGAGCACTGACTTTCTTTTTTCATGTGGGAGCATGAAGTAAATGGAAGCTGTTTAAGAGGTTGGGATCAAACAGTCAATTTAATTTGATGTTATCTGATGTATTTTAATCAAACTTTTGCAAAGCCATCAAATATTTTTTTACCCCCTTAGCCCCATTCCACCTCCTGAATTGCTGTCTATGCTCTTAAGTTTCAGTTTGACATCCCAGAATAATCAGGGGTTTCCAAATTAGGGGGTTCATCCAACCGCTTCTTTTTCAGTATCTGCAGCTGCATTATGCAGCTTTTCTGTAAAAACCTGTTGACAGACCAAAACACAACCCTGAATTAAGCTACCCCCATGCTCGTGACATTTCCATTGAAACCTGTTGGACCCCCCCACCCCCCACTTCCCACCCCCACCACACTGTGTCAATACTGTTCCTGCACACTGCTTGTCAGAGCCAGCAGGGTTTTTGCAGCAAACTACTTTACATCAACAATATTGAGTTTGTGCCTTGTGGCGTGCCATTGGGAGGGAAATAATTTATTGATACTGGCTTGTTCAACATTTGATATTATTTTCTCTCTAATTTATCAGCTACAGATGGATCCAAAATGCAGTTTTAAATATGACTTTGTGTTAAAGCAAGCATAATTACAGAAAATAATGACAAAAAAAAAACTTCACTCCAGAGTAGGGGCCTCTGTGATAAATATACTCACTCCCCTCACTGTCTTGCAATGGAGTCTCATGTTACAGATTTTTACTGCATGTAAAATGTATCTTTAATAAACAACCCAGCCTTTTATTGAGCCACTTTTGAGCTTGTTGTTGAACTAATTGTTCCTTTCACTCATATGCACCAGCAAAGTCACACTGTGGTCAGTGGGCATGCTCAAAACCCACCTCCCCACCCCACCTCCAATGTGAGACACTGCATTTGATTGTTTAGCCCTGATTTATAACTGTAAGGAGCAGCATTCCATCATTATCAATTGATAATCTATGTTTTAGAGGAAGCTTCAAGCATCATATCTGATACCATAATAGTGGAAATGATAAATGATAAATCGCAGCTTTCTCTAACAAGGACCGATCTGGCATTTATCTGTCAGCGGTGGAGATAGTGAAAGCACAACGCATTCACACCATGTAATCCTAGGCTGTTAATCTACCCAAGAAGGGGAGAGGGCTTATTCTCAGGGTCTAATTAACATCCAATTAACCTTTTATATCTAAAACAAAACAAACAGGTGGAAAATGGCGTTAAAATGCAAACCTACTTGGGTGAGTTCTGTGCCCATGAAGATGAGGAGAATCAGAGTCAGGAGCTTGCTCGCAGGCTGCATCTCTTGCCTCCGGTGTGCGCGCGCCTGGACCAGCGGTCTCACATGCAGTTCGGTTCCCTCCTTTCGCTTCCCTCCTGCTCAGTGTTCCTTCTCTCTTCAACCACCTCTCGGTTCTGTTTCTGTGCTGTGAGTCACTCGGCTCTCCTTTTATTTTATTTTGAGACGATCGCGATTACAATTTGATCCCCCGCAGCAAATAAAGGCAGGTCTTTCTCACGGAATCGTCTCCGTGCATATTCATTTCATATCGGGAGCCTTTATCTTTCTCCGGAGCCTCTCCCTTGTCGGGTCGCGGATTCTGTTGTTTCTAGCGGCAGCGAGCGTCTCTGATAGGCATGGGAGCAGAAGGACGCGTTCAGTGCTCTGCATGCACCGGTTCCAAACCTTCAGTCAGGATATTGCCAAAAGTTTACCTCTCTGCCTCAAGCCGCTGTATAAGGTCTCGGTGAGGAGGGGAGGGGGGATGAGAGAGACGGAGCTGTCCGTGGTGCTGAAAACGGAAGTTGCATCGCAGAGTGAGCGAGATTTAAACAGGCAGGCAGAGGACAGGCGGCTCTCATGGATGGGCCTATGTGATGACGAAAAAAACATTCATATAAAGGATGAAAAATAAAGAAGGCTTGGACAAAACAGGCAGAAGTATACTAAAACACCAAGGGCTATTAAATGCTACGAACCAAGAGCAGGTTTAGACTGTAAAGGTCTTAAAAAGAACTTTTTTTAAGTTAAGGTGAGCACTTTTCTATTTGTGGAATGCGAGGACACAAGGGATATACAAGTTTTTGTTTGTTTAATTTTAGTTTTTATTAGGTTTCTTTTAATTTATAAGTTTCATACCATTTTAAATATGCAGTTTTTTTGTTTGTTTGTTTAAACTATATAATTTTAGGTATCCTTTCCCATGGTCCAATTTCTACTGTTAGTCCTGGTGTAATTTAATCAGGTTTCACAGCTGTCTTTCATGAACACATTTTCTCAGGTCTTGTTAACAATTTTTTGACAAGAGCTGAGACATTATGAAACATTCAATTAATTTTCAAAAGGCATTAAACAGCTACTTTGTCCATATACTTCAGGTCATTATCAAACTGAAAGAGTGATTACTGTATGTATTGAAATTTAATGGCTCAATGTTTTGTTCAAAATGATGCCATCTATTTTGTGAAATGTACCAATGCCCTCTTTAGCAATCTTAACCAAAGCATAATGTAACCACTCATGTTCATCATGGTCAGTGTTGTGGTTTTTAGGCTTGCATGCTTCTGACATTTTCTTACAAATATAAAACGGTAATTGCACTTCAATTTATGTTCACTTGAAAACATAATATATGTGAAAGAAGGTAAATGGGTAATGTCCATCTGTAAATTATATTTGAGTGACTTTTAAACCAACATCAACATTAACAGTTATGTAATAGTCTACTTTTCAGAATTTCTTATTAATTGTTAAGTAATCTGTGCATTTAAGCTTCAGACTTTGAACAAGTTTGTAATAAATCTCTGAATATTAATCAGTTATTATTTAAGCAATTAAAAAGATGTAGCTAATTATGACAAAACCTAAAGTCACAGGGCCCAGACACTGGTGCTGGAGTAAGCCACAGGGTGAGTTGAACTGAGAATATTCTGAGAATGATGGAGGCGGAGGTGGGTGAAACTTCGCTTTTGGGCAGGAGAGAAGATAGGCCAGGAGTAAAAATGAAGGGAATCTTGAAAGATGATAGGCTTTGGAGAAGGTGTTGTCCTGACACTGATTGGTTGAAGTTGAATGAGGGACATCGCCATTGGTTCAGGTGAAGCTGATAAGAGATTGAGTTTTCACTTAAAGGAATAGTACACCCAAAACATGATTAGCCTTAATTTTCTACTCACCTCCATGCTGAACAACACTCTGGAGTACTTTTTTGATATCTCAAATGCATCTGGAGATCTGGGAGGCTTCTTGCTGTCTGCTGACATTCAAATAATGGAGGTCTATTGTGCCCGAGACAGAAATGTCCATAAAAGTCCACAAAAACGTGTCAATATTCCTCCATACTGCTCGTCCAATGTATTCCAAGTGTCCTGAGTGGGTAGCATCCAGAATTTACTCGAAACGAAGTCATTTAGAATGTTTTTAGAGCATAAACAGTAGTGTATAGGATTTCCTGAAAGCGCGCACATGCGCGTTCACGAGCCTACGGAAGCCGGCAGACCAAACCAGCGCATTCAGCTCGGCAAAGAACTCATGCTCTTCCTCAACACTGAAGTCCTCAGACATTTTTCTTTCGTTGTTTCTTTCTTTGCACAGGTAAACAGCACATTTCTTCTGCTACGCTTGCATTATTGGCAGAGCAGACGCGAATGCGCACTTTCATCTGGTTTGGTCTGCCGGCTTCCGTAGCGTCATGAACGCGCCGGCGCGCGCTTTCAGGAAATACCATACACTACTGTTTATGCTCTAAAAACATTCTAAATGACTTCGTTTCTAGTAAATTCTGGATGCTACCCACTCAGGACACTTGGAATACATTGGACGAGCAGTATGGAGGAATATTGACACGTTTTTGTGGACTTTTATGGACCTTTCTGTCTCGGGCACCGTAGACCTCCATTATTTGAATGTCAGCAGACAGCAAGAAGCCTCCGAGATCTCCAGATGCATTTGAGATATCAAAAAAGTACTCCGGAGTGTTGTTCAGCATGGGGGTGAGTAGAAAATGAAGGCTAATCATGTTTTGGGTGTACTATTCCTTTAAGCTTTATTTGAACAAAAACAACAGTTTGACTTTTAATATATTAATCAAATTATTAAAAAAATTTTCTCTTTGATTCATAACATTTATATTTAGAAGAACTTTAAACCATTTAAAATGTTTTGCTTTATCATAAAAACAAAGTTTAGGATCTTTATTTCATATTTTAGGCCAAGGGCTTTTGGGGGCTTTCACCTTCTATTTGGCCTCTAAGCAACAGCTGTGTTTGCTGATTCCCTCTGCCGCAGTTCATACTCAATAAATGAGGTCTGTGTTTATTAAGGGTTTTCCACTACTAAGTGGATCTTTGGTCGATACAGATTCAAGGTGAAAGAAATTATTGAAAGAAATTAGACAAACAAATTTAACCCAGATAGAACTATCTATCACCAAAAAGAGGAAACAGCAAAGAGAGGCAAATTTATCACTTAATTTATTTAACTATTTGGATTATTTGGCAAAAAATAAACATGTGATTTTTAACATTTTGGTTGCATTAGGCAGTAAAGAAGGCATTGCAGTAGAGAGCGTCAGTGTTATTCGCCCTATTTTGTCGTTATCTGCCCTGATAGCTGACCTTATTTATTAATTTCATTTACCTGCCTAACTGTGCCTGGTTCCTAGTTATCGCTCATCTTATCCACCTGCGTCTGTTCTTTTATATTAGGCTCAGCCCAGCAATCAAGGGCCAGATCATTATTTGTTTTATATGTTGTATATTTGTTCAGTTAGTTTGAGTTGCTGGTGAAGATTCTCAGTCATCCAGGTCATAGTCATTTAAAAAAAGATTTAAAAAGAAAAAAATAACCCACTGGAATTTGTTTCCAAGTATTTTTACTTTTTTTAAAAAGTGGTTTGAGTTATTAGTTTTTTTTTCCCCCATCTCCGGAGGCCAGTCATTTAAGTGCCATCACTTAAAAGACAGACAAATAAAATGCAGTACAAAAACCAGTGCAAACATTTCTTATCGATGTTAAGAAAGAAAATATACATAAAACAAGAAATAGTTTCTGGATTTTGGTTTAGTTACACAATGTCTTCGAGGGAAAACAATGGTTTTCAGTCCGTTAGTTCTTGACCTGATGCCCCTGTAGCACTGGCCATGGTGAAGCAGATTTGAATCAGGAGAAAACTAACCCGAAATTAGAGTGGCCAATAATTCTCTGAGCAGTTTTGACCACAACCTGCAACTAACATACCACACTGAGACAGAGTGTAATATAAGGACTATAATATAAGGATAGAAGGACTCCAGTAGCTTGCTCTTCAACTTATTTCACCTGAGAACCCTGTGGTGTTAGAGGGCCAGGACAGATCTTCAGAGATCACAATGCCCAGGTCTTTAAAGGTACAGACCTTCTCCATACAGACACCTTTAATGCTCAAGGGGGTGAGGTCAGTTTTCTTCTTCTGAAAGTCGATATTACTTCTTTGCATGTTTAGTTACGGGAATGTAGCCTAGTGGTTAGGGCATTGTGCTTGGATCCCAGAAGGTTGAGAGTTCAAACCCCACTTCCACAGACTGCCACTCTGGCTCCCCGAGCAAGACATTTAACCCCACACAATGGCAACCCACTGCTCCCCAAGGGGATGGGTTAAATGCAGATAGTTCATTTCGTTGCTTTGTACTTGTGACAGTATAATGACAGTAAAGATTAATTCTATTCTAGTTCAAGATTGTTTGATTAGCGCCAAGCTGTCAGATTCAGGACCTCCTTCCTGTGTGTGTTTTGTCACCTCCAGAAATCAACCCCAACACAGTTCTGTCATCAGCTAATTTAATGATGTTTACGTGATGGGTACAGTCATATATATAGAGTGAATAGAGGAGCGTGCCCAGCACACAGTCCTGGGAAGCCAGTGCTAAGTATGTAGCAACGTGTCAATTCACTAGCAGGGACATGACCAAAACAATTATGAGTTTGAAGGTTTGTTGTCAGAAGGAATGGAGGGATCAAGGGAAGAAGGGGTAAAGGGATGACGAAGGATGGCTGTCATCCGGGGAGAAATTGGAAGGCTTGAAGATTTCAGTGTTGGGGTATAAATCTTTGGGAAAATTCTGCTACGCTCATTTTTCCAAGCCCGTGTAGAACTTCCCAAAAGGAAACTGCAACAAAGAAGAACAAATTGTGTTTATGAGGTAGATTGAATTTAAAGGATGATGATGATGATGGGATGTAGGGAAAAGGAAGCGCAGGAATGGGATGAAAGGGATGAAATATACTGAGAGGAAAGGGAAAGCAGAGTATATATAGGCTATATTTCTCAGAAACGCTCTCTGTTGCTCCTTATTAAGAAATAAACAAGCTAACAATCTTTTTTTTTATTATTATTTTTTTCCCTTACTAAATAATTATTTTTTCTAATTTTTTAGACCGATACATTATATATGTTTCAGATTTTGTTTGTGGCAAGACTCAGAAAATATCTTAGAATTTTCTACTAAAATGTTTAATCCTCTCAGTTCTTTGCACTCAGTGGATTTAGGCTTCCTGGTAAGGAGAGAATGACAAAAAAAAGTTTGTCTAAGTCTAAGACTTAGTGTATCTACATTTCCCTTTTACTAATTACAATTTTTAAAGAAATAAATGTGCTTGGTGCATAGTATTTGTTATGCTGAGTTGGATATTATTTGTATTTCTTCACCACATTTACATCCCAGGATTTTGAAACCAGTAAAACATTGTTCTGCTTTTTGTTGAAGTATTGCAAAATCTGTATGCAAACAGGGAAATGTTTCACATTTTCCTCCAAATGTGCTGATCT